GCTAAAGTTGCACCAGGGGAGTTTTAGGTTAGATGTTAGGAAGAATTTCTTTACTGAAAGGGTTGTTAGACATTGGAACAGGCTGCCCAGGAAGGTGGTTGAGTCACCATCCCTGGAAGTCTTCAAAAGACGTTTAGATGTAGAACTTAGGGATATGGTTTAGTGGGGACTGTTAGTGTTAGGTCAGAGGTTGGACTCGATGATCTTGAGGTCTCTTCCAACCTAGAGATTCTGTGATTCTGTGATTCTGTGATTATTCACACACTAAAAGCTACATGCACAGAGTGCATTACTAGGCTGGGTCTTAATGCAGTCAAAACACACCATCTCCACCTCCTTTTTTTTGTCACAATTGGGGTAGTTTGAACTATTAATTTTTATCCATAGAAACTATTTGTCCTTCAGCTCCTGCCTAGCCCAATACCAGTTGTAATTTCCAGATAAATCCCAGGAGACAAACTGATAGCTGAAAGAGAAGGCTGCAGTTACACAGCCTGCGAGACACACCTAGCTCTCATCTACAAACTGCTCCTAAGAGTGACTTGGAGTCATAATACACGCTGACCTGATGGAAGGCCTTGCTTTTGTTTTGTTTTAAATCACGCCCCCCAGAGTTCAGCTAGCTGTAGTTGAGTGGTGTTTTAAGCAACACCATGGCATGCTTTTCTGATGAGTATCATTCCTCAGACTTCAATCTGACACGTGGGTGCTTTTTCAGCCTGTCTCAGTTTTCCTGCTTCAGGTATAACACTAAAGCATCATTCAAGGTCTGCTTTCATAGCCCCAACTCTCTTTAAGGTTACTTCAAATTCTGTGAGTTCCTGCCTTATCTCTTTCCTCCCTTAATAACTGCCTAAAGTTCCAGTGTGTACAGCCCACACTTAAGTGGCAAAGTTTATTGTGGATGCTCAATAGTCCTGGTCACCAGTGAATTGGCTCAGGAAACAAGCATCTAGTACCATCCTATTCAACCTAGGTACCCAGGAAAATCCAGAAAACGCTCCTATGCTTTACACATTAAACAGTCTCAGTTGCCCCAAATTAAAAAGATGTGTCAGATTTATGCAGGGTATTTCCTGCTACTTCTCTAACATTAACTATGTTGCTGCAATAAGGCCCATAGGTTTAAATTATAATTTCAAAGATGCAGAGACATGTCTCCTCCCATGACCTGAGAACAAAGCTCCAGCAAGTTCCTGATGCCTCACATCTTCCTTCTCTCCTCCTGTGAAGCACAATTCTGGTATCTTTGCCTCAGTAGTACCTCTGAGGGTGAAAGAGTGCCTCAGTTGTTTCAGCATCTTTAAAATCCCATGTTTCGACAAAGAAAAACAAGACAACAACAACAACAAAAAAAACACTAAAGCCTACAAATCAACAACAAAAACAAGGAAAATGATCATATATCTTTTTCAACTAAAGAAAATTTTATTTTTATCTGATATCCTGCCCCTCCCACCACCTTTTTTGTTTTTTAAGGAAACAAGGTATTTCTGTTTAACAGGGTACAGCTAATGATTTCTGAGCCTCTTAGCTGTCCTTACCAAGTCTGAGAGTGAGACAGAGGGCTCAAAGTAATGATACTTTTAAAAACCACGCTTTTCCATTAAATGTGAGTAAGTTTGATCAGACAGGCAGATACCACAGTATGACTTTCGTCCCACTGAATGGCTATTTAGTATAGATAGGTTTGCCTTTTGGTACCCATCTACCAGGTAGACGGCAAGGCTACACAGAACTCTGATTCAGCCATAGTATGATGGTCTTCCAGAGCTGAAGGGCTCAAGCAGAGAGATTGGAGTGATTTTACAAGGAAGCAGTAAAAGTGCAACTGGGAAAATGGGAAGGCATGCAAGCACTGCAACAGAGAACGTAGGGAAATGAAGAGGATGCAGGATCTATAGCCATAAGAACTCAGGTTACATTAACTCAGCCACAACTAATTTCTATTCTCATTATTGTTTTTTGGAGTTACAAAAGACAACTTCATTCTTACGGCTTTGTTTTTTATTTCTGTGTGAAAGACTCCCATAAAAACAACAATAACACCAAAACAAATGTTTTTCACAATCACGTACATGTCTAACATCCCCTTTCCATCTTCTCCCATACAGTAACCAGAAATGCATGCTACGATAAATGGATGGGCAGAGAGCTTACGTTTATTATTTCACATTGGTCTGTGAAAATGAGATATCTAGTATGATGCCACACAGACTTGTATGGTGGCACCCATAAGGAAAAAAAGAGGATGGCTGAAAATTAATTTTAGTGGGAAGTGTTCTAGGTACGAGTAAAGAGGATAAATCTTAATATGCTCCTCTTCTTAATAGCTCTAAAATAGGCAGGCAAATGTGTGCTATTTGTTTTGTATAGAAATTGATTCTATATTAAATTGACAGTCCTATAAAAATACTGCAGGATCCTTGGGATTCAAAGGCAGTCATATATCATAATTTCATCTCAGAAGACATACCAACCACATTTTACCTTGTGTTTTATTTCTAGGAACCGTATCTTATTGAATATGTTGACACTGTGAAGTAACGTGTATATGAAGTAACCATAGAGAATTATTTATCTTCAGACATGGTTGGACATCCCCCTCTCACTTCACTGAGAAGGATAAGGGCAGTCCTGAACCCTTATTTTCAATGGAAGTCCAGTTGAAGCATTAAAAGCCTACAAGCAGGAAAGCAAATAAGAAAACACTACTCTGAAGAAAGAAAGGAAGAAATAAATTAATGGTATATCCATATACACTGTGCTACTACTACATGTGTATATGTATACATGTATATGTGTGTGTGTGTGTATTTAGTTGTCAGTTCATCCATTAAGAAATAGTCAAGTATAATCATGCAAATACTAGTTCAGTTAACTACAGGCCATATTCTCAACTGATTATTTGGCTACTTCCACTATTGCTAATGAAATTGGTGTGACTTCTATGAGTTAGAACTACAATTTCTGTTGTTATGAAACCAGCCTTGCCCTACACAGTTACAGAATAATTCATGGAGACACACTGTTATATTATCAGTTAGTTCCAAGAAAGTTAGCCTCTAAATTGCATTTGTAAAAGTTAAGAAAAAATTCTAGATGATCAGTCACAATTCAGAAGTTTCCTTCATTGCATTTTAAGTTTTTGATGTAGGAGTAGGGTGGCCTTTTCTGCCAGACTTTTGTAATGCATTGGGGGTCATACTTGGGTTGAAATACACTGCCTTTGCAGGATTTCATTTCCAGATTAGAGAAAATAACACAGGGGGGACAAAATAACATGTTATTCTAGCCCCAGAAACAGTTCCCTGAGGTATTGAAAAATATAAATACTAATACAGTAATACTACTTTTTACAGTTAATCTACTACATCCCTTTTGACTTTATCCAAAATCAAATCACCTGCTGCATACTCATCTTTAACAAATTCACCTGTCAAAGCAAGCTTTCTAGTCATTAAACCCTCCCCCAAAACTACAATAACAAACACATACAAAACAAATAAAACCTCGTAACACTGGCTGTCACCGTTGAATTACATATCAAGGAGAAGATTTTTATTTCCATAGTTTTGTTTGCTTTGGCAATTGATGTCTCTTCTTCTTGTGTTTTAAAAGCTGGCTTTAACAAAATGACAACTTAAAAGCCCTCCTTATTCACAGCTTGATGTTGAAATGGATTCAAGCCAGAGCTGGAATGGCTTTCCAAATTAGCAAGGGAACCTACTGTTGAAGTAGACTATTACCCTGCATGTGTTTGTGCATACAGGCTTATTTCCTCATGCCCACAACTGGGCTAGCTATCATTTACTCACCTCACAAAGCTGCCTCCTTCCTGTTTCTCTTCTCAAAGAATTTAGTTAAAACAAAAGAAAAATCAACATCATATTTTGTGCTTGAAAGCACTTTGCCACTTCAAATGGCCGAGCAGCATCATATCATTTAGGAAACAACAACGAAAGAGTCTTGAAGCATTCAAGGAAAGCACAGTAGGATACATTTTCAAAGGGGCTGTGCCCAAGCTCTGAATCTTGCACGTCCAGCAAATGTTTATATGGCATGAACAGCTGCATGCAAAAACCAGGGCTGCAGTTGCACCAATACACAGCACAAATTGCACAGATCTGCTGGCTTCGAGCAGAGCTAAGGAAACTCTTCATAAATATGTAAATTCCAAGCTCTCTTTATTGAAAGTACCTTATACCATACCTTCTGGGGAGACCAACAAACACAACCAGCTAATAAATTGGTACTATAAGTCACAGAAAGGCATATAAACATAACAGGGAGCCCCACAAACAGTTAATGACAGAAACAGAACATGTCCTTTCTGTCTTAAGTTTCATGGCTTTGCACAGAGGGATCCAGAATTGTAACACAGGTTAATAGAAATTACCTAGTTACCAGGCTGACTTGCTTACAGGTATTAGCATTCACAGTGCAGCCTACTCACAAGGTGACAGGCAGTGATTTCCCAGATGTCTCTAGCTCATTTTGTCACCGATTTTAGCTCAAACTGAAATTCACACACCTCTTGGCTCCTTACAGAGAGGCTCCAGAGCTCAGGAGCAATGAGAAAAGACACAGAAGAACAGCAGAACTACCCTACAGCTCTGGAGACACAAAGGGAAAGTGTCACACGCAATCAACTGTGTATGTCTACAGGCTGCCTTAGAGTACGGTTCTGCTTTGCAACACAAGGGCTCAACAATGACAAAACTTAAAACAAAAATAGAAAGAAGCAGAAGTTTTGTAACAAAGTAAAGGGCACACATAGAGCCTGAAATCACCACTAAAGTTGTAGTAACAGCAACCACGAAACCACAAATCAAAGATACTAAAGAAACTGCTGACTACAATAATGAACTACATTTGAAGAAATACAACCTAATTCCAGCCTGCCAAATGAACTGGCTCATATATTAACTGCCCCCCCCACCCCCAAAAAAAAAAAAATAAATAAATAAAAAATAAAAATAAAAGAAGCTGCTACTCACAGTTTCTTTTCCAAGCCACCTTACTGCACTCCTTGGGCATGAACAACAACCCTGGGAAGGAGCACTATACAACCTGGGCCTCCTACATAAAGGTACCTAAATAACCTTGCGTGCCTAGCAGCTCTCCTCATCACATGCATGCACTTCTAATTAGACCTCTGGAAACAGCATTCAGCTGGAGCTGACTCGCTTTTCTTTCTGTATGAACTAATCCCCCAAACCTGTGTGAAATTCAATCTAGCCCCGGTGATTACCTTCTCCTGGTGAGAGATAGAGGCCACCAGAGGCTGCCCTGGTGGCAGAAGATGGCCGCGCATTTCTCCACACGCCTGAGGGGATACAGTCAGCATGCTGCTTGGCTTCCTGGCATGTTTGTCTGCCACTGACCATGTGGTGGCAAGCATGCCTTGAAAGAGAGAAGTGGAGGCTGTGGCTGGGATCAGCTGGAAGCTTCTGGAAAGGGCAGGGTTGGCGCCATGCTAAGTGTGTGTGGTGCTGCTCTGTAAAACAGTTTCCAAAGGCACATAGGAAAGAGGAAAACATGAGACTATTCTCTTTCTCTTTTTTTCAGTCCTAAATCAAAAAAAGCCCTGCTCCAAAATCCAAAAACATGAAGGGCAACAAACTGCAGTCCAGTGGATACAGACATCAAAGTTTCTTTGTCCCATTTTTTTCTGAATAGCTGCTCAATCTTGGGAGGTAATTTAGTGCTTGAAAATTTGACATACCGCAAATCAAATTTGTTTATAAAATCTCCCTTTTTAAAGGAGATTTCTTTTTGAAGCCGATTCTCTTTCAGTAAAGCATCTCCATTTACCTTGGAGGTCAGTGGGCCAAGACAGAGGAGCCCCCAAGCAGCAAGGACTGGAGCTGCTGCCGTCCAGCCAACCTCACCTTGGCAAGGGGAGAAGGTGATGGTGTTGGTGTCATGAAAGGCCAAGGCTACTGAAACCAAGGTGAAAAAGAGTTATGGTCCCCTCTGGCCAAAAAGGGCGATGCAGTACATTGTGACAATCCTCATGCTAACTGGCCGTGTGCCAGCCAGCCCCTGGTGGCACAGGAATTTCGGTGGAAACATTCTTCACAAAAAACAAACAAACAAACAAACAAACAAAAGATATGCACAAGTGCAAAGTAGCAGTGCTTTCAGGGGCCTATTTTCACAAGAGAGTGCTGGCATGAGCAAGTCTGCTTGGCGTGTTTTATCTGTCTGAAAGGACCTGCTGTGTTTCAGGTGCTCCATCACCATACGAAAAATGTTAATATTCATAGCTTTCTAGCCTTCATTCTCTAAACTAAGCCTCTCCCCTGTTTCTTCTGTTTCTCTCCTCAGTCTGCTTTCCAGCCTCTCTCGCTTGCACCTCCCTTCTTTTGTTCCTTTTATGCATATCACAGCCCTTGAATCACACCCCTGTTGCCAGACAGTTTGTCCTCTGCTGCGCTGAACGGGCACTTCAGAAGGCAGCGCGTCTCCTCTCAGGAAGCGACTGCTTATTTCACACGCGGAGAGGAGCATCAATTCAGCACAGCGGGAGAAATTACAGAGCACAGCCTGGAGGGGAGGTCGATGAGACACAGCACTGTTCTGGAGCATTCTGGCTTCATTTAACCTCTTAATAAAAGTAGGTTAGAGCATCCTGATATTAAAGAGCCATGTGAAAAGAGAAAAGGGAAAACATTCAGGGGGGAAGAAGGAGGAGTCAGGAGTCCTCATCTAGGAAACGTGCTTGCAGGTAATGCACAGACAAATCCTTTCTGATATATAGTATATAGGATGGTATTGTCATATGCTCTGCTCAGCATTTTGCAGGTATGTATCTTTTTGTCAGTGGCAGATCTGGGCAGTTACACCTCTACCCGTGCTTCTTCTGCATAGTCACTTACAGTCATCCAGACAAATCTAGAAAATAATCTGTATTGTACCCTTAAAAAATAATCAAAGGTAAAGGTGTTATTTTTTTTCTTCCCTAAAAACAAGTTCCTGAATATCCAAAATATTTTGCAAACATCACCTATTATTTTTTCAAGCAGATGTGAGAAAAGACTCTGATTTCCATTTTTTTCAGATGGGAAAACTGATGATTCCTTCCCAAAAGTTAGCTCAAGACAGAGATCTGAACTGACCAGACACGGGAAAAGGGATGAGGAGGATCACTGCTAAGCTCAAATGTAAAATCGCATGTTATTAGAAAATATCCAGAGAACTATGAGGATGCTGCTGTTGCTAACTTCTTCAGCCTTGTTAATGTGGAGTAATAGAGAAGGAAAAAAATAGACCAGCAAGACATGACAGTTTTTAACTCTGAGTTGTGATGGATAGCCGTGATCCAATAAGGGCATTTGAGTAGGATTTCATAATACATTATTTCTGTTCTAATCAGGCACTATAAAGCTGAAACAGGACTTATATACTTCACAGCCACTTTGGATTATTGAATGCTCACAGTAGGCTAAAAGAGCACTTACAGCTCATCAAATTAAGTAAAAATGTACAAATTAAGTACCATCAAGCCTACAAGCCACTGCATTTACAGGGAGTGAAGAAGGCGAAACAGGAGAGAATTAAAGGATGAGACATTAAAATGTACTTTACAGTATGCTTTTAAGAAATGACATTAATGACTGAAGAAAATAATTAGGAAGCATCTCAATCCATCCCTTGTACCAAGCTAAGATCTATTTGCACACACCTCCCTGGACAACTATCTATCATTCCTGGTCATTGATTATTGCAGTATTCCCAAACAGCATGATTTATTGTCTTCCACACACGCTGCAACTTATACAGCATGCCCATCATTTGAGGCAGGCTAAGCCTGGAGGTAACAACTGCTATGTTGAGCTCCAGGCTGAGCTCAGGGTCTAGCATCCAGAGCTCATTCTGCAGGATACTGCTTTGCTATGAGCCAAATCTGCAGTCTTCTGTGTGCTTAGCCACTTTCCTACTGTACAAAGACTTTTTCCAGGTTTAGTGATCCTAGGAATTATGCTTCTCTGTCTCACTCAGTTACCATTGAGGGTGCCCAAATGGAGTCACTCGGCTTCATGGCATCTTGAGTTGCACAGTAAGCTCATCACTATTCCTTGCTTTGCTGCAGGTTCCTGGAGTCCACAGCCATCGTAAAACAGCAAGCCATTTTTATTCCTGGTGGCTCCTAGTGCTTGTTTTTGATACACTCAAGATTGCTTAGGTTTCAGGCTAAGACAGATAAGATGTCTTGAGCAGGAACTAGAGGGCAGCAGGTGTCTACCCATTTTGGAAAGGGTGAGAAATTAATGCTTTAAAAGAGTAGGGTTAGGAGAGGGCAGTTTCACCATTGTGACACCTAATCAGGAAGGAGGGAAGGAACAGCTAGAAACTGAAAGATAGCAAACAAACAAATAAATAAATAAATAAAAATAAAAATGGCAACCAATACTATTTTTATTTCTCATATACACTACCTAGCACTGTATCATTTGTGTTGCACCTCTTATTGTTGTGATAGCTTACAGGAATTCCCCAAAGGAGTGATAATAACACAAGCTAAAATATCTCTTAAAAGCATGGAGAGAATAACAATAGAAAATATGAAAACATAAGAAGTTAAAATAACCTGGATATGAATCACAAACAAAAATTTTATAGATCTGATAAACTGTTTGCAATAGGATAGCCATATGACTTCAGTCTATAGTGCAGCATGAGAGAGCACCTTTCCAGCAAGGATCTAACATTAACAATTAAATACTGTTGTCCTTAAAGATATTAATACGATTTTGATTGTCTATGCACACAAGACCTCAGACATTAAGCAGTCAGTTGACAAATCTCACTAAAGACTTTTCAGATCAGGGGGAGGTTTTGTTTCTAGAGTATACAAATGAAACAATGAGAATGAAACTGAGAAGTAATTAAGGTGGGGAAAAAAAAGTGATACCAAATAACATTCATATTTGTCAAGTGTTTTTTAAAAACATATAGCCCACAATGTAATCTACATTTTATAAATGCTATTTGGCAGCTTCTTTTAAAATAATTTTTCTGCATATCATACATACCAGTATTCATTTCTACCTGTCTTTCAGATCTCTACACTGTTCTCTCAGTGAAGGCATTTGATCGAACTATCAAAGAGGCAAATTAAGACAAGGAAAGCAACCAATTAGGATAGAAAAGACATCCCTTTCCATTTCCTATTAAAGCATTAGGTAGGCAGCCCTTAATGTAATGTGGAACGGTTGGGCTGAAAAGATTTTAAAACTGAATTCCAAGGAATAATCTTTCAATGATAGAACTGTACTTAAGAAGGAACATGTAGCTGGTATTGAAGTTTAGAAAAAATGAAAAAAAAAAAAAAAAGTGGTTACCATAAATTGTACTACAAAGTAAGAGTTCATAATATGCACTCTCTCTTTAATCATGTGTATTTTAAATAGTACTGACTGCTGGTACCATGAATGTGTCATATGTGAAGGCACTGTTTCTGGTGTGGTCTCCATACAAGGTGTCAATTGGATGGTTTTTCTTCTCCTTCTGTGGTAGGAAAAGAGATGAGTGATGTTGGTAAAGTTTGTAGCTGTCTAGCACTTCATACCAGTAAATACATACCTATTATTATGTTCATGTGCACATATATTTATACAAATAATATATATACACATACACATATAGATGGTGGATATGGATTACAGTCTGTGGTGCCATCTGGTGGAAAGAAGTCAGCAGCAGCGTTGCTGCGATATTAAAAACTACAAATGCAGGTACCTTAAAATAAGAAAGGAATGAATAAAATCCCCAAAGAAGAAGGCCCTAATCCATATGATTTATAGGGGACACAGCGTGCATCAAAATAAATAAATAAATAAATAAATAAATAAATAAATAAAAGTTCCAGGCTGCAAAAGACTCAAAAACTAAAGCTATTTTCCCTGACTATCTGAGACTGTTTGACTCATTGACGTTGATCAGTAGTCGTTGAGAAGTCATTAAAATCACCCACAAAAAAAATTTAAATAGATTACTGGAAAATGTAAAGGATCTGTACTATTTATAACTGTTCCCATCCCTGATTCTCTCTGAGATAGATGGGCTGAAGTCTTGCAGATTTAACAGAAGAGTCAATGTCTCCAGATGTAGTGCATCTTATAGTCAGCAAATACTGACTTGAATACAAGCTTTTTTTTTTTTTCCTTTTTTTTTTTTTCCCCCTTTCTTTCTGATGGCATGTCAACTTCATCTGGCATGAATTGTCTCCATTTCTTTCAGTAAATGAA